TTTTGTATTTTAAGGAACAGTCTACAGGGTGTTCAGGGTTTCACTACTAGATCAGACTCATAGTGATTCGCCTGTTTACAGCCTCCCAAGACCTGGGATTACAGGTGCACGCCACCACGCCCAGTTTCCCAGCCACACATTTTAAACCATTATATTTTGGAGGCTGTTACAATAATTAAATCCTAACTGAATAATGCTCTCCTGCTTGATGACAAAGCTATTTTACAGTTTTTATGGTTATTTACTTCTTAATGATCAAAGTAATGCATCTTCCGATTCAATGCTAAATTCAGAATCTTTTTTCTTTTTATTTGGTACAGGGTTCAATACACAGTGGACTCCATAGTGATCTTCCTGTCTCAGCCTCCCCAGTGCTAGGATTACAGGCATGTACCACAGGCATGCACCACCACATCCAGTTTCAGGCCAGAACGGCGCCCTGCCTGGAGTTCCAGGACCAGCAAGGCATACAATACTGGAGATCGAACTCTGCTCTTGCACTTGCCAGGCAGGCACTTAGACCAATTGAGCTATCTCCCCAGCCCATAAACCCAGAATCTTGATTTAGTCATTCTATGTAACAAATAAGACAGCTCTCAGGCCATGTTAAGGTGGTGATGTTTGTTGTTTTGGGTGTAGAATACATGCCAAGCACATGTTTAACCACTGAACCATACCCCAGATCAGGGCCATTTTCTTAAGTCCAAAAATCATTACTACTAAATTGAGCTACAACAAATTAAAGGCTCATTCAGGGTTGTAGAAGTCCGGAAAGTCAGGACCAGCCAGACAGCTCAGTGGACTACAGTGCCTGCTTAGGCAGGCACAGGGATTGGGGTTTGATCCCCTGCTTACCATGCCAGCCCCACCCCCAGAGCTCCCTGAGACTGCAATTGAGAGAGAGGCAAGCTACTAACGCACCTGTAATCCCAGCGCTTGGGAAGCTGAAAACAAGAGGATCAGTGTGAGTCCCATCTGTGTAGTGAGACCCTGTAGACCCTGTACTAATTACATTAAAAAAAAAAGAGGAGTCCAGTAAGTCTATTGAGCTCCTTGACTATCTCACCTTTAAATGTCACATCCCTCTAAACTTCCTCAGCTACTAATTCCCTTGTTCCACTCTGCAAAGCCCCTATTCACATGCGGTTTTGCCCTCTCTGTCACAGCTCCACATCCCTCTGACAAGATAAGGCGTCTCAGCAAGTGCTTCCAGGATCCAGAGGGTTGGGGGTAGGGAACGGGACTGTGAGGGCAGAGTGGTTCTTCAAGCTTCACTTAGCAGTGATACAAGTCATGGCTGCTCATATTTTACTGGCCAGTGTCATGAGGCCACATTTAACTTCAAGATGACATAGAAGAGGGTGCAGAGTGTAACCTTACCATGTGCCAAGAAAGAGGTTAAACCAGCATAGCTGTGCACAACCTTAATCCCAGAGGAATCAAATTAATTTTTTTTTTCATGTTGGGAGAAAATCCTATCAGAAAGTGCTGGGGGGATCTTATTTTCACACAATCCTTTCAGTCCTTTTTCGGACTAAAACTCCAACTCCTTCACTTCCCTGTCACTTACCAGAAGATGAGCTAGTCTACTCAGGGCAGACTCACAAACCTACCTCTCTTAGTTTTAATTTCATATCCTGAAAAGAGATAGGCGTTGCTAGCAGAATCTAGTTAAAATAGTACATGAAAATGTTTCAGTGCTTTTCCCTTTTGTTATGGATAAACTTTTGATAAAGATGACCATTAACATCAGGATGCTGGCAAAATACACAGAGCGAGGCACTTCACATAGAAGCTGCTGTAAACAACTTGTGCCTTTTCACAAAAACACTCAAAACTTGCCTTGGCAGTGGAGGGGCAAATCCTCCACTTCCTGTCCTCTACTGCAATTAAACCCAGGACTTCTGCACTAAACTACACCCCCTGCTTATTTTTTACTTTGAGAAAGGGACTAAGTTACTAAATTGTCCATACTAGGCTTGTACTTATGATCCTCCTGCTTCAACCTCCCAGAGTGCTGGGATTACTGGCATGTACCACCATGCCTACCTCTGGAGGGTTCAATGTACCACCATGCCTACCTCTGGAGGGTTCAATTTCTTTTTTCTTT